ATGGCCAGTTTTAGGGCCATTATTAAATATTATCGCTCAGGCTATATCTTGGGGAGCTAAAGGTTTAGCATGGCTAGCTTCTAATCTTTGGATTTTAGCTATTGCTGCTGCTTTGTTAATATATGATCAGTATAAACAAAGAAGAAAATAAAATATGTTTTAATATATATGAATAGATTATTACAAGAAGAGCTTTTACCTGGTTATAAAAAGACTGTTATGGCAAAAATTAAAGGCAATCGTACTTTTTATAGTATAACCTTTAATCCTAATAGTCTTAAACCGAATGAACAAGTTTATATTAATATTCCGAAATTGAAAGCAAATAGTTGCTTAGTGCCTGGTTCACTTAATCTATCGTTTGATCTTAAAATAAGTAATACAAAAAGTCACTTTATAAATAATCTCAGTCAGATTTTACAACATAGACTACAAATTAAAGTGGCTGGGGAAACCCTTTACGATTGTAGTGAACATAATATTATAAGTGTATACAAAGACTTGTGGTTACCTAAAAGTGATCGACAAGGCCTTATTGAATACGGTATTTGTAGTGAAAATTTACGAAAACTCATTTCGAAAGATGACAGTGGTACAACAAGTGGAAGTTCAGAAAAAGTATCAGACAAATTAATGTATGATATTTATGGTATAAGACAAAAATTAATATTGATAATATTCTTAAAGACCATGGTCTGTATTGCCCTTTCAATATGAATAATAACTTTCAATACATAATAACATTACCACCAAGTGATCAAGTCCTTATCCCCCAAAGTGGTCAAAATATAGGTGATTATGAATTAGAAAATATTCAGCTTGAATATGAAACTATTGAAAACCAAGAAATTGCGAATGAGGTGACAAATTTATATTCTATAGGAAGAAGCCTATTTTATGAACATATAACCCTCTTAAAAAAGGAAAAATGGGATAAGTCAAGTACATTACAGAATGTTAACGTTAATGTTCCCCGTAAATCAATGAAAGGCATCGTACTACTATTCACAGAAAATTCAATTAGTGACAGCGAGAAATTTATATATCCATTAATCGATGAAGTCAAAATAACAATCGAAGGCACGCCTAATATGATTTTCAACCAAGGTATGAATAAAAAACAATTTTATGAAGAAGCAAGAAAATTTTTTGATAGAACTATTCCGATAGATTGCTTCATGACAATTGAAAAATTTTATAAGGATAAATTTGCATTAGTTATCGATCTACGCACCTTTCAAGAAAAAAATATTGCTGGTAATGGAAAACGAATCATGAATACTCAAAACGGCGTTTTGCTTGAAATTAAAAAGAGAGTATATACAAAAGATTTAAACTGTTACATCTATGTCATTAGTGATGCTCTTGTTCAATTTGTTAATAATGATTTACAAAGTATTCAATACTAAATAACCAGTAATATATAAATGAATACACCTTTTAATATGATTATTGTAGGTATGACAAATTGTGGTAAAACCTTCATTCTTTTAAGAATGCTAGAAAAAAACTTTAGTAACCATTTTGATTATATTATTTTAGTATGCCCCACATTATCATATAATAAAACATATCAAGAATGGAAATATATAAATGATTCTGATTTAATTAAGGTAGAATGTGACCAATATCAGGTAGATATTGTTTTAAAATATGTTAGTGATGTATATAAAGGTACAAATAGTCTTATTATTCTGATGATTGCGCAAGTGGATTAGATGTTAAAAATAGGACATCTGAATTAGTTCGTTTAGCATTCAGTGCTCGTCATTATGGACTTTCTACTATTGTGGTTACACAACAATTGACAAGTATTGCCAAACCTTATCGTGAAAATATAAGTTATTTAGTTGCGTTTTATAATACAAACCGCAATAATATGAAAACAATATTTGATGATTATCTTTATGGTGTTGAGAAAGATGATATAGAAGAAATAACCAAAAAATTGAAAAATAATAAATTTACTCATCTATTTATTCAACTAATATATCCATACCAATGGAAAATTGTTATTCCGCAATAAAACATGTGTTAATATATATGCCAAAGCGTAAAGAGCCTGAAACAATTGATGATATAATTAATGAGATTGATTCCGCAAATGATACTATCAAAGATGCTGTATGTGATGATAATATACAAGATAAACCGCAAGAGGGTTTTAATAAAAGAGATCAACTACTTAAACTAGCTGAAGATGGTGATTTAGACAAGTCAGTTGCTTACATTAAAAAAGCCAGTCAAAAAATTATTGATAAATTATACAATGAATACGAGAAAAAAAGATTACAAAAAACTAATGAGTTTTTAACTGATTTAGTTATATCAAAATTTTCAGATATATTAAAAGGGTTTGATGTTATTGAATCTCCAAAAGAATTAACAAAACAGCTTAAATCAGACGACCTTTTAAAACGAGATGTTTATAGTTTAGTAGAAAAAATATCACCCATATTACCTTTTCTAGGTTTTTTATCTGGTGGTATAACAACCGTTAAACATGTTTACGAACATAAAAATAATAAACCGGATATAAAATCTGAGGAATAATATAAATGAGCTTATTTTATGGGCATGATAAAACAGATATTAATGTAAATATACAAGGACCTGTAGATAAAACACATCTATCAGATAACTACTACACTAAAACTCAAGTTAATAATAAATTTAATGACCACTATAATAAAACTCAAGTTGATAATAAATTTAATGACCACTACTATAATAAAACTCAAGTTGATAATAAATTCAATGACCACTTTACTAAAACACAAGTTAATAATAAATTTAATGACTATTATACAAAAAATGAATCAAATTCCAAGTATGCTTTGACTTATGATTTATCCAAATTCTATACAAAGAGTGAAACAGATGGTAGGTATTCTTTGACTGCTAATTTAAATAAATATTACACAAAGACTGAAACAGATGGTAAGTATGCTTTGACTTCTAATTTAAATAACTATTATACTAAAACACAAGCTGATGGTAAATTTAATGACTACTATACTAAAACACAAGCTGATGGTAAGTATGCTTTGACTTCTAATTTAAATAACTATTATACTAAAACACAAGCTGATGGTAAGTATGCTTTGACTTCTAATTTAAATAACTATTATACTAAAACACAAGCTGATGGTAAGCTTTGACTTCTAATTTAACTAACTATTATACAAAGAATGAGATTGATAGCAGAGTAAATGGTAAAGTAGTACACCATAGCAATCAATTAAATTATAAAATTTTAATACCCGACAAGATATTATCAGAATTTATTTTAAAAATGTTAAATTTATTGAATTTACACTTTTATTAATAAATCCATCTGATAACTCTAAAACAATTAAATTAGATATGATGATAGATAAGATTAAAAAAAAATTTATCATTAAAGTAACAAATGATAATGAAAAAAAGATAGTTAATGCATTACTAGATTTATATCACGTATACTGTGTTGATGATAAAGATAATAATATTTTATTAATTATTGAACCAACAAAATCTTCAGTTTCACTAGGTTATGACGAATGGAAAAGAAAATGGCTGGCAGCATTTAATGGATTAACCAAAATTCAAGTTTATTCACAACATCAATCTACATTATCTATGTCATTTAATGGTTTTTCACAAAATTTTAGGGCTACTATAGAAGATAATATTCTATCAACTAAAAAATTTGTAAATGATGAAATCGAAAAATTAAAAAAATTTATTAAAAATAACTATCAAGCTAAAACTTAAGATGAAGAATAATCCTCATGTTTGACTACATATCACATAACTGTTTGTAATAAGTAATTAATACAAAAGCGATATACAAAAAGATTCAAAATCCTGAAACAATTATTAAAAACAATTTTAACAAAAATTATATGACACTCGCTTGACAGACAAATTAAAAAAACATATAGATTCCATATTTTGTAAAACATTGTATTATTATACATGCGCTGATGAAATGTGCTATTACATTAAACAACCATTGTTAAGAACATGCACTAAGACACGCGCCTGACAGCCTCCTGGAAGGGCCTTGTTAACACTTGATTTCTAAAGATAGTTTTTAAAATTTAAACGCACCTATATATTTCAAAAACATATAGATTCCATATTTTTAAACGATAGATTGTAAAAGAGCATTTCTTAAGCCTCTGTTATTCTCGAATATTCTTCGAATATTCTTCGAATCCATGGGAGGCGACCCCAATTTTTCACTTCGTGAAAAATTTTCCCACCGTCGCCTAGAATTCTCGAGGGCTCAATCCCCTGCTCGATCACTTCGTGATCTGCGCTGCCGAGCCCTCTCCGAACCGATGCTTTATTAACAATTAATTCTTAAAGACGGTTTTTTGAAGAGCATTTCTTAAGCCTCTGTTATTCTCGAATATTCTTCGAATATTCATCGAATCCATGGGGAGGCGACCCCAATTTTTCACTTCGTGAAAAATTTTCCCAACGTCGCCTAAGAATTATCGGGGGCTCCATCCCCTGCTCGATCACTTCGTGATCTGCGCTGCCGAGCCCCCTCAAAACCAATGCTTTCTTAACATTTGATTATTAAAGACGGTTTTTTGAAGAGCATTTCTTAAGCCTCTGTTATTCTCGAATATTCTTCGAATATTCTTCGAATGTAAGGGGGCGCTCCGAATTTTCACTTCGTGAAAATTTTCCCCACCGTCGCTTAGAATTCTCGAGGGCTCCATTCCCCTGCTCGAGCACGAAGTGCTCTGCGCTGCCGAGCCCTCTCCGAAACGATGCTTGTTAACATTTGTTTGTAAAGACCGTTTTTAAAAACATATAGATTCCAAATTTTTACCCCTTTGAAACAATGACTTTTTTCATACAGCTTTCTTACATGACCTTTTACTGAGGGACGCCTTTTGAACCATGGTCTTATTTTAAGCTGTTATAAAAATAGTTTTTACCCAAGGTTATACGTAGTATAGTACATGGGGGATTATAGCGCACTTTTCGTGCGCTAGAACCCCCATGTACTATACTACTCTCTTTCCTTACAGACAACCCCTACCTCTTTCTGTAGGACAATTCCTACTTCCTTCCTTACAAACAACCCCTACCTCTTTCCTTAATTACAATTCCTACCTCCCTTCTTACACACAACCCCTACCTCCTTCCTTGCAGACAACGCCTACCTCCATCCTTACAGACAACCCCTAACTCCTTCCTTACAGACAACCCCTACCTCTTTACGTAAAAATATTTGAGTTATAATCATTATGTGAAAAGTTTGAAAATGCATGAATTATAGTCTTTATTTGAAAATATATGAGTTATAGTCTTTATATGAAAGGTGTGAAAATGCATGAATTATAGTCTTTATGTGAGAATATATGAATTATAGTCTTTATGTGAAAAGTGTGAAAATGCATGAGTTATAGTCTTTATGTGAAAATATATGAGTTATAGTCTTTATGTGAAAAAGGTGAAAATGCATAAATTATAGTCTTTATGTGGAAGTATATGAGTGCATATATGAGTCCACGTATTTATTGTCTTATAGGTGTCACGTGACTTCGACGTTGGTATGGTCATAGAGGCCTCGCGTGACTTCCACGTATGTATGGTCTTATAGGTCTCACGGACTTCCACTTATGTTTGGTCTTATTGGTCTCACGTGACTTCCACATACGTATGGTGCTATAGGTCTCACATGACTTCTACGTATGTATGGTCTTATAGGTCTCACGTGACTTCCACGTATGTATGGTCTTATAGGTCTCACGTGACTTCTACGTATGTATGGTCTTATAGGTCTCACGTGACTTCTACGTATGTATGGTCTTATAGGTCTCACGTGACTTCGACGTATGTATGGTGATATAGGTCTCACGTGAGTTCTACGTATGTATGGTCTTATAGGTCTCACATGACTTCCACGTATTTATGGTTTTATAGGTTCACGGACTTGCACGTATTTATAGTCTTATAGGTCTCACGTGACTTCTACGTATGTATGGTCTTATAGGTCTCACGTGACTTCTACGTATGTATGGTCTTATAGGTCTCACGTGACTTCGACGTATGTATGGTGATATAGGTCTCACGTGAGTTCTACGTATGTATGGTCTTATAGGTCTCACATGACTTCCACGTATTTATGGTTTTATAGGTTCACGGACTTGCACGTATGTATGGTCTTATAGGTCTCACGTGACTTCTACGTATGTATGGTCTTATAAGTCTCACGTGACTTCCACGTATGTATGGTGATATAGGTCTCACGTGAGTTCTACGTATGTATGGTCTTATAGGTCTCACATGACTTCGACGTATGTATGGTCTAATAGGTCTCACGTGGTTTCCACGTATTTATGGTCTTATTGGTCTCACATGACTTAGACGTATGTATGGTCTTATAGGTCTCACGTGACTTCCACGTATGTATGGTGATATACGTATCACGTGATTTCTACGTATGTATGGTCATATAGGTCTCACGTGACTTCCACGTATGTATGGTCTTATAGGTCTAACGTGACTTCTACGTATGTATGTTCTTATAGGCCTCACGGACTTCTAGGTATGTATGGTCTTATTGTACTCACGTGACTTCTACGTATGTATGGTCTGATAGGTCTCACATGACGTTTGCGTATGCATGGTCTTATAGGTCCTATAGGTATGGTCTGATTTCATTATATCGTGTTATGTCTTACAACTACAAGAACATTCGTAAATTAAGGTAGACATAAATAAAGGTGGGCAAAAAGATAGACACAAAGTAGACATTAAGGTAGACACAAGAGTACACAAAAAGGTATACACAAAGTCAAACGTAAACATAAAGAGAGACGTAAAAAGTACAACATACAAATAGATGTACGCAGATGGACGCAAACTAGTTACGTAGACACAGAAGTAGACACATAGGTGAATATGAAGGTACACAGGTGAACTTGAAGGTACACAGAAAGGTAGGCAAAGGATGTGGACATAAAGATAGACAAGAATAAAGAATATATTTTTTTCTTGATTCTATAAATCGAACAATCTATCTTTTCTCTTAATTACAGTTCCTAAAGATCAAGTAATGATTGATGGATATCCTACTTAAGCGGTGTTAATACATGCAGCAAAATTACGTTTTTTTAGAAATTCCTTATCTCCTCTCATCCTCCCTTTCATTTTTTAAATAAATACATAAACTTTGATAGCTTCTTGTTAACCATTTAAATTAATTTCTAGTCCATTTCTTTTCTTCCAAACCAAGCTCAACTGTTTTCACTTTTTTGCTCCAAATGCATAAATTTTTTTTATCTACGGCAAAGGAAGATCCTTGCACATCGAACTACATTTTACTACATAAAAGCAACAGTGCTACACTGGTTTTCCAACATAAGAACAAAAATTTGTTCATACAACAAGACCTATAGAAAAGCGAAGAGGAGACGATAGAGAAAAGGGAAGAGGAAACAAGAGGAAAAAAGAATAAAGGAAAATCAAGGAGGAGAAGGCAGAGTAGAGGGTAGGCATGCACAAGAGTTGATAAAAATTGACAAACATCGAGAAGAGAAGAGGCAACAACAGAAGTAAGGAAAAGTGAAGCAAAGAGAGGATAGGATATAATATTCTCCGCCCCCGTCATTGTAACAAAAACAGTAAAATCATCACCATACTCTTCTCTATTCACTGTCGTCAAAATAAACTGTAAAATTAATAAACGGTGACAAATTCACCAAGACTAACAGAAATACCAACACCAAGAAAAAACTAACACGAGCACCATACACAAAGACTAACAACAATAATGAGCATTAAAACTGCTCCTATCACTTAGACCAACACCAGCATTAAGACATTTTCACTATGAAGACATTATCATAAGACTAAAACTAGCTCGAACACTGAGACAAAGACGCACATTACTTGGCACATTACTTATGCTAACACTAACACGAGCACAACCACTATTCTAACTATTTAATAACTCAACTCTTTAGTTTGATAATCTTATTGCTTACCCCAAACCCTATTCCAATGTGAAGTACACCCTATTCAAACTGTTCAAGATGTAAAGCATACCGTTGCTAAAAGGTAACGCTTAAAAGGTAATCAATCACAATTTGTAATCAAAATTCGGTATTTTGCTATTCAATTAAGTAGTGTTTTTAAACATTCTCAAATCAGCAAAGAGTTTAAAATTTTCTACATCAGTTGCGACGCCCCAAAGCAAACCGGTCAATTTTATTCACAACCAGGACAATATGAATAGGAAAGACCTTATGAGACGAAGCTATCAGCTGTATACGTACAGATTTGCTGAAATCAATAAAGAATGACATTCATACTACAAAAAATTATGTGATTTATATTGTCTGATGATATTTAATATATTTTTCACATTGGTCATGTTGAAACAAGAAAATTTGCAGTTCACATTGGAATAATTAGTACGAACACTAACGCTTACTCCAAACCAAAGAAACGCGTCAAAACTCGACGAAAAAAAGAAATTGAAAAAGGTTAAGGACGGGCATTTTCAGGATATATATTTCTTATGGAGGCAATTACATTAAAGTATACATTAATATACGTAAGTTTTCAAAGGCAATACTCACGTCACGTGACGTCAATACTTACAACTTAGTTAGATGAAGCTCTAAACCTCGATTGTATATATCCAAAAAGGACTGCAAATAGGTATCTTGAACATAATCAAAAATTAAAGGCAAGCATCAAAGTCATATCTATAGATTCTTTTAAAAGCAAAATGTTTAACGAAGCATTTGTGGATATTTCAGTGTCCTATTTACAAAAAATATATAGGTTATAATTCTTTTCGTACACTAAAGCCACTTTCATCGTATTTGTAAAGAATTCATGAGACATTTGCCAAGAATACAAATATTCTTTTTGTAAAAGATTTCTGAGTAAACGAATGTCAAAGATATTAGCGTTCCAATCAGACCACGTGCATTTGTCAAGAATATTACATCTTAAAAATGAAATTATTTTATATATATTGCCCTAAATACGCTTTCCTATATTACACTGGTGTACATATTGAGCGTTCAACTCTTTAACATAGAAAAGAATACAGATGTAATTATTTCCACAAAAAAACTTTTCAACCTCATTTATGATGGGAAAGAGCTAATTGTTATTTATACTTGTTCTTGTATAATAACAGTGCATTGGGAATCAAACCCAAAGACTAAATTGTACCGCTTTTTGAAAATACTCGAATTTGTCCGTTTCTTTTCGATAGTGCAGAAAATTTTGTCAATGAACAGATTATGGATATTTTATAGTTCCAAAATTTGATCTTTGTAGAATTTTTGAAGCTCAAAGCTGGTAAGTTATTGCTTGAGCGAAATAGTAAAAAAAAGGTCAATAGCTTCATGATGTCGTTCTAATGCTTTCCTTTCCTTGCATTACACTTTATTATTTAACGTCACAAACAACAATTACCAGCCTTTTTATACTGCCGTTTCAATGTCGAAATGCTAAAATGTGCAACTTCGAGCTCCCCAATTAAACGGTAATAAACGTTCACATTTACATCATGTGATATGTAAATAAATATGAAAATAGTTCAACTAAAATCACAAAACTGTTCGAAAAGCGAATTAGCTTAAACATGAGGATGGCCGTAAATTTTAGCTGGTAGATCTTTGTTTCGCTTAGCTAAGCGTTCATAACTTCATAACGTTCAAATTGTATTTCTTAAGGTGCCATTATTGTATATGACATGAAGTAGTACAAGTTTAGTCCGACACCAAGCTCACTGTTTTTTTGAAGACTTAACCGAAATAAAAAATCCCTAATGGAAAAACCTGAACGGTATAAACCAAGACCGAACCACAAAGGCACAAGAACTTGGAGAATACTGAACAGGAAAAAACCACTAGGGATTTTAGCCGAAGTTCCGCGCCCTGGGGACCCATGTATATAATTAATAATGTTTACATACCTTTGAAACGAAGCAAAAAGCCAAAAAAATAGAAGAGACCGTCCATTTTTTTCAAAGCGCAACTTCAAGTCCCAAATTTTATAGTATTTTTTAACGTGCACTATAGTTTCGGAAGAAAGTCGCCATTTTAACCGACATATACGTATACAAAGCGAAATTAAACCGATCACCGAAGTGGACAATTTTCTTCTTTGCACGAGAAAATTGTGTATTGATGGAATTTCTTAAAACGTGTGTTTTCTTATCTAATCCATGACCAAATCAGTCGCACCTAGCGCCACTTAAGCGCCCTATTTTGCACCGTTTAATTCAGTGCTTTGCGCGGTGCCACTAACGCCTAAAATTGGAGCAAGCGATGGCTGTATGACATGGATTAGATTACTGTACTTCAAGATAGTTTGTACGGTTAGACGAAATTCAATGTTTTTTTTAAACCTCTTGAAGAAGCACACGTTAAGTTTGGTTACCAATGAAGTGGTGATAGTTTAACCAAACAACCGGCAGTGCTTTATTTAAATTATGTTTTACTTTGACAATTATCACATACATGACTTTCATAGAAACGCGACTGGTGAACATGGAAACCTTCGTGTAACTTTTAGTTAATATGTGACAACGTCTGCGGTTTGTCTTCATAGTAACCATTATAAAAAAGCAAAACAATGTACTTTAAATTAAAACCGTGTTTTCTTTTACGTTATTATGAAGGCATTCCGCATACTTAGACCTGGTGTACTAATTTATTTTTACGCTCACTTTCGCTGTGGCTTGTAGCATTGAAATTCCCAGGAATGAAGTTTTCCTTGACAGAAAACAACATGTCCCTTAACACATTTACAGTCATCGCCACGCCACCCTTAAACTGTAAATGTCTTAACAAAATAAATACTTTTTTGAGTATCTATTTGTCGATTTAGGAATGAGTGACAAGATTGAAAGATTTCTTTCAAGCATTTAAAATTCACTCATTTCTCTTGACAGTGGGGTTCATCCTTTAAAGGTACAAACCCCACGCTGTTATCTGAGCGTAGCAACTACTCGCCGCAACTACAACGCATGCCTATGCTATCTAAACTTCCTACCTGCGCATGGCACCGGAATTCCGCCCTGAAAAGGAATGCCCCTTGAAGGAGGTAACCCATCATGCCCTTAACTTAACCTAACCTAGTGCATGTTGCACCTACGGGTGACCTCCAACAGGGGTGGGTTGAACTACGCATGCATTATAGGGGATCCAGGAGTGCCTTAAAGGACACATGCAAGCTAGAAGACAACTTTATTTTATTGTAATGCCTATAGCGTGAAAATAAGACGTACCAAGTTTCAAAGTCGTCCGCGAAATATTTAAAAAGATATTTAGGGTTATAATCGGTAAAAACACGGTATTCGATGAACATTGCTAAAACGCCGTGAGATTGTTTATGTCTGGGAACTGGGAAAGAGTGACGTAATAGTTGACATAAACAAGCTTCGTTCTTATATCGTTCTACGACTTGCACGCAATTCTTGCACGGCTTTCGGTAGTTTGCTATTACTGTTTTTTATTTAACAAAAAATTAATGGATTCTTCTGAAGAAGAAGCCGATTATGATATTGTCGTCAATAACAATGAGGTACAACCTTACATGTTTGAGCCTTTGGCCAACGCGGAAGGTGGTCATAGTAATGACAATTCTTTGTCATCGGAAAGCGAAGATGAATACATTCACAGAATTGGAAATGTTGAATGGTTAGTTGCATTTTATTGATGCTTCATTGTTTTTCCAAAGTAGAAAGAATGTTTATCTTTTAGGTGCGAGTGTGGCTTTGTGTGGTCATGAGTACAGGACGGGAAAGTATATGTTGCCAAGAGGTAAACAACACTGATCCTCTGATACATGGCGATCATATTGCATCACACAAGAGGAAGAGTTTCCCACAGTATGTACAAACGAAGCTGTCTTAAAAACAGCTATGGTCGTGTACACATGACATTGGACCTATGCCTGAGAGTGAAGAAAACGAGTAAATATTACCTTAGAAGTGTAATTACGTGTATGTCGACAAGTGTATAATGCCGATAAGTATCTTAGACAAAATTTTGTATCGTTCAGAGCATTATGCTACACGGCGTACCGACAGTGGACGGCTTGGGTGCATGGCAGGTTGGGAAAAAAGTACCGACTACCCATACCTTCTTGTGCTGTGGACAAAATCCGGAAAGCATTTCCTTCGCCTTCTGGAGAATACAAAGGATTTGAATATGCTCAACACTACTGAATGGTAGGGCTTATGGCGTATGACAAAGTCTGTTCATTTGTAATTATGTTTATTTCATGTGGGACGTTATTTCTTTTTATTTATTAAAGCCATGTTGCTTAATGGCTTCAGCTTTGCTGATTTTTGATTTGTGGTGAGTCAATGGGACAGGTATTTCTTTCACTCCAGCGAAATCAAGAGCTTTGGACAGTGTTGGATTAATGCGTCTGAAGTACAAAACTTCTTTCATCAAGTCCTTAACATATCCTGAAAAGCAAATCATTATTTATGTTGGCTTTGCATTGCACTTTGAGAAAAGGTAAGTTTATTTTTCTGTGCTAACCATAAGTGCTGTCAACTTTCACTGGTTTGATGACCCCTTGTCCTTCTTTTGACTTTGAATAAGCCACTCTCCAAATCAATGCCTCTTCTGTTTGCCTACCATTCTTCGTTTTCTGAGGTTTATTTCCATTCTCATTGAAATGAAGAGCAGCAATAAACAATCTACAAATGAATGTTAAGTTTATGTTTACAACTATTGCAACTTATTGCTTTTGCAATGATGACTTTTTAAGTAATCATACACTAGTCATAATTATATTACCTTGCTTCCATTGATCTGTAGAAAAATGGGTATGTTTTGGTGCAAAAAGAATCACCACTCGGTGGAAACCTTCGATGGATGAAGTCTGCTTCTGATAACTGAGTTTTCCAATATCTCTCATGAGATACTTGGACTCAACAATCGAAGACAGCTCAACATAAGCTTTTGAACCTAAGATCAGAAGTTAGTTAACAAAAGAAAAAGAATGTTGATGTTACTTTGAAATTTATTTGCTTACAATACCTTTTTTATCCACATTCTAGGCTCTAACATATCATGTTCACATTTTGGGAATACATCACTATGTCCCTCATGGATGTCACATATATGATTGAGAACTGACAACCACTTTGCCTTGACAAGTTCTTCATCACCATTGCTGGAAGCAGCACACCAGTATACATGGTTGGAAATTGATTGGGCCCAATCCGACAATAATTTGCAACCACTTTTTGATGCTGCCAAAATTTTCTTTTTGATTCCTGTTGGAATTTGATTATTGATGAAATGTGTAAAAGGTTGGTTTGTTATGACAATCTATACCTTTTGCTACATGCCATACATCAAAGTAGTGCTCGATTTTTGGTCTTTGTTTTGACATGTAGGATTTGATTTGAGCATGTCTGTCTGTGGTCATTGACTTCACCTTCATCCCACTTTCATCAAACTTTGCCAGACATCTTTTTAATCCCTCAAGTTCCATTGCTCCAGAGTTCGTCACTTCATTGGACTGTGTAACATAATTATGTGAGTATTCTAACCATGTTTTATGTACAGTTGTTGAAGAATTGTTACCTGAACAAGTTGTGTGTCTAAAATGTTGTTAGATTCCAAATCCATGCAGCTATATGTCCCATACTTGGCACAATATCCAGGCGAATCACATCTTCCATCTCCTCCAAGGTTAATGTTCCTTTCTCTGATTGATTCTAGAAGATGCTTTTGGTTCATATGCCAAACATTTGAAACACTGGGTATCAAATACCTGTTTGAATATTGCTATATGTGCGCTCTGACAGAAATTGTATGCCTGAGTGACGAAGGAATTGAACAACTTTGCTGGGGCTACTACCACTAAAAAAGAAGCTGGCAGCAAAGACCAAGTTGCCCAAAGGCATTCGCCCATGCAGAGGTTGGCTATTCCAGTCTCGAACATAACCACAATGACATTTTGCTAGTACGTTAACCATACTACCAGTCGTTTTCGTCACAATGGAACAACTTTCACCACAACATGGGCATTGACTCACTAACTGTCTCAGGCAACTATCAAACACTATGTCTTTTCTCTCATTTTGAGCATCTTTCCTATAACATAAAAATTACCATCAGAATCAGAGAGAGATAAACGTAACGTTCTGAGAAACATAACAGAGAAAAGCAATGTAAAGAATAGTCAGGTGACTGGATAGTTGGTACTAACGTCGCATTGTCATTGTCGGATTCTTCATTTTCGCTTAACTCATTTGAACATTGAGAGTCTGATCCATTGATGCTATTGCTCATCGTCGACGTGCTTTCTGTATCAGACCATACAGCGCTATCCTCAAAATGTTCAATTTCACATGACGTCGTCTGTGTGCTGTGATTTTGTTGAAATGAACTCAACCTCCGTACCTTAGCATAAAATTATCGTATTGCTGGATTTTTCACAAAATCAAAACAGCCGAAATGGAAAGTCTATACCTCTACTTATCATATTTGGCACTTTTGTTTGAGTGGTTCTTGACCTTACGTGTTTTGCGGACGGATTGTTATGGCTGCTTGGCATTTCACATTGCGCTTCTAAGGTTTGTTTGTTTGTTCAGGTGCCATGCATGATGCATGCTTGGCTACATGTCTCAACGTTGACGAGCACAGGCAAAGATTTCTGGCTTCTAAGGTACGTTAAGGAATTTTTTATGAGTTAAAATAACAAAGAAAAGATCAAACGACATTAGTCTGAATTAGTTACCACTGTATATGTTTGTGTTTCGCTGTCTACATATATTTTGACATCTTTCATCTTAGACAAACTTCCTTTGAGGTAAAACGCACTAACATTTCGAGCCGATGTCGACACATCGTGGTCGTCGTCTACAAGAACGCCGTCTATAATCTAAAATTATAAAATTGTCTTCAATTTGGTAATGCTATATAGCTTAGTTTTTGATAAATGTAAACAAATATTGCTAACTATAACTATAATATAGTTAGCAACATTTGTTTACATTTATCTCTTCTCAAATGCAGTTCTAACATTTGTTGGCTGCTTCCTTTTAGATGCTACACTTGTGGGTTCCACAGAGTATTCAAAAATCGTGGGTACAGCATCCTTCTTAAGGCGAAGCCGTCCTGCTGTCCATCCTACTGATTGCATCGCTTCAAAATTTTGCACGAAGCACGAACTCTCGAAATGTGCGAGCACAATTTTGAGCTCTTTGTTGGCTTCCAAATTTTTGCGTCGGATTTTTTCAATCCAAATATCTCGCATACGCTTGTTTTCGGGAAACGAAAAAAATGAAACCTTTTGCTGAGTTTCGTGGTTCTTAGAAGAGGTTTCGTTTTTACAATTAAATGCGGCACAATAAACCATATTTTCAATGCTAAATTGTTGTGTTGTTAAGAAGTTACCAATATATTTTGAACGAAGCGCGCAATTGACCGCGTTTAGCGAATGTCAACTATTACGTCACAACGACATCGGTAGCTGTCGCTAGCTCGTCGGGCATTTTCAATACGTTATCAATAAAGCATCAACTTTAAACCTCCATATCTTCAAAAATATTTATCCTTTGAGTCTCAAACTTTGGTGAACTATTAGTTGGAGCTATACCTTCATGTAAAGTACAAAAATAACAATCCGAATTTTATGTTGCATGTGTCCTTTAATAGTCACTGTAGAAAGCCGTTCATGAAATCGGCCATCTACAACGACTGCATGCTTTTACCGTACTAGGGGAGAGACATTTTTCTTTCCACCAAAACCATCATCTTCCATCGGTCTTCAATACGCCTTGCTCGCTTGATCCAGTCTTCAAAGGTCTTCTTACAGATGCAATTTGCATCCTCTACGCTAAGGTACCATTTGTACCCACTAACCCCAAGTTGAAGTTGCCTTCCTTTGGCCAAACTTCCCTTGCATTTCCGATTCTAAGCTATGGTCCTGTCTATCCTTCTGCGAGGAAACAGCCGCTGCGATCATGCGTAGCTCCTTAAATCAGTATATTCACACAGAGGTTTTTCGAAGGTAAATTATAAAGAACAAACGCAATTGCATGCTACAGACTTAAAATACAACTTCACGCTTACTGATATACAAATTTTGAATGTAATTAAAGCAGAACCGAAAAACACAATTGTATTATTTCAACCGAAAGAACACTTTTATCACCTCTTAATCAAGACTATTTTTGAAAATGCAGATGTGAATTTCTTTAAATATGTTTATTTGCCTACCTGCATTAAAAAAATAGCCTTATGTGGAATATACTGAACACCAGGATTTGTTGTGGCTACTGCCCGAATTATATCAGAGATTTGACCTGTTAACATGCCTAACTAAGTAAAAGGTTTATTATTATTACACTCACGGTTTTCGACGAATCCTCGGCAGTTTGACGACAGACTACGACTAACGACGAATCCCTTGCCAAGTATGAAGAAGATGAAATGATCGGATGCTGAGCACGGACAGCCACATAAAAAGCCCAAAATAAATTTTTAAAAAAATTCAGAACATTGATGGTAAGCCATCGTATCCAATTCTCAGGCTATCTGACAAACACCCCCGCTTTTATGTCGACGACGGCAAGCACAGAAGCAAGATTGGCCATTTCTTGCAACTGTGCATGTCGTCTACGGCAGTAAATCGGAAATATCGACAGTCAGTCGGAAAATGAGGATTTTTTAGATTTTGTATTTTCATGTCAAAGAAATTCCATGTTTTTATTAAGAAAAATTTTCAATTAAATAATGTTGAAATTTGGGCGTTCGATAGTGGCGTGGCTTTATTCATCATTGCGATTGATTGACCAGTCGTGATCTTAGCAGGATAATGCCCACGAAAAATGTTTTTGAAAAGGTCATAATATTGACTTGTCCATGGAAATAGGCTTTAGGTCGATGGATGCATTGCTCAAGAACAGTGTTTAGAGTTTTCATTCTTTATAGAGATGACCTTTAGGACAATAGAAGTCACATGTTTTTCAATCTCATTAAAGTATGTTGTTCATTCTTGATCATTGTTCAGAGGACTTCGCTGAAGGATATCGTTCATTCTTGATCATTGTTCAGAGGACTTCGCTGAAGTATATTGTTCATTTTGATCATTGTTCAGGACTTCATTTAAGTAAGTATTTCATTCATTCTTGATCATTGCTCAGACGACTTCGCTGAAGTATATCGCTCATTCTTGATCATTGTTCAGGACTTCATTGAAGTATATCATTCATTCTTGATCATTGTTAAGGACTTCATTGAAGTATATCATTCATTCTGGATCATTGTTCAGACGACTTCGCTGAAGGATATCATTCATTCTTGATCATTGTTCAGGACTTTTTAAGTTAGTATATCATTCATTCTTGATCATTGTTCAGACGACTTCGCTGAAGGATATCGTTCATTCTTGATCATTGTTCAGGACTTCATTTAAGTATATCGTTCATTCTTGATCATTGTTCAGGACTTCATATAAGCATATCGTTCATTCTTGATCATTGTTCAGACGACTTCGCTGAAGTATATCGTTCATTCTTGATCATTGTTCAGAGAACTTCATTGAAGTATATCATTCATTCTTGATCATTGTTCAGGACTTCATTTAAGTATATCGTTCATTCTTGATCATTGTTCAGACGACTTCGCTGAAGTATATCGTTCATTCTTGATCATTGTTCAGAGAACTTCATTGAAGTATATCGTTCATTCTTGATCATTGTTCAGGACTTCATTTAAGTATATCGTTCATTCTTGATCATTGTTCAGACGACTTCGCTGAAGGATATCGTTCATTCTTGATCATTGTTCAGAGAACTTCATTGAAGTATATCATTCATTCTTGATCATTGTTCAGGACTTCATTTAAGTATATCGTTCATTCTTGATCATTGTTCAGACGACTTCGCTGAAGTATATCGTTCATTCTTGATCATTGTTCAGAGGACTTCACTGAAATATATCGTTCATTCTTGATCATTGTTCAGAGGACTTCGCTGAAGTATATCGTACATTCTTGATCATTGTTCAGAGGACTTCATCAAAGTATATTGTACATTCTCGAGAAAATGGTCAACAACAGCCACAATTCTCTTCAACCGCTGTGAACAATAGTCATTTTCTTTAATTGCGGAGTGAATACACCAACATTTGCTTGTTGTTTCTTAATCTCTATTCATGATCATTTGTCGTTAAACAGAAGAATGTTCATGTCTAAAACTAAGTAAGAAGAAACAAAAGTTACAAAGACGAAAACTTTTGCCTAAACAAACATCACATGCGCGTCTCAATTCAATTCGTACTCTTGTGGTACACTTGTACTCAGAACAAGAAACAACACATTTACCTTAACATGGTTTCAAGGCACTCCAAGAGATATTTCAGCGACGACTAATTTCGACTTCAGCCAACTATTCTTCGTACGTCTACCGACTTTCACGTTCACGTTCCAATGTCATGTTCTTACGTTGTCTTAGAATATGGCTCAAGTTACACAAACGTGTTGTGTCCTGATTGGTCAGTTACTAGGTGTGTCGTAAACGTTTTGCGTTTTGATTGGTCAGTTACTACGTGTGCCTCAAAAAACTGCTCATCTTTGAAATCAGCTGAATTTAGCATTTGCATGATTCATCACTTAGAAGTAATTAATCCCCATAGAGCGGTAGATACAATTGTATACAATTTAAATAAATACGTATATTTCAGCACAGCAAACAGCAAATCCAAAACATTTACGTTTCCTTGGGGAACAACCACAGCTGAACCATGCAAATTCTAAATGTTGACCCAGATCAAAATGATTTGATAAACCCTCTAGGTTGTCCATTACACATCATTTTCTTACTGTATTTATTAACCAACGTTAACACTTTGATTTTGCAGTTTAGCGGACACATTGGATGCTGATCCAATATATAATTTTAAATCCTAAAGTATTAATATATAATCCTAAATCCAAACGCTATAATCCAAACTAAAAACGAGCCAGCTCTCCGCATACAAGCGCTTCTCGTGTCTGCTAAACTGCAGTCTAGCCTTGATTTCTTTTAATTAGCTTTCGACAGGGTGTATATAAAAATGACTTTTGGCAATTACACTATCGTAAAATTTTAAAGCGCATCCACTACGCTAACCTCATTGGTGCATAATATTTCCAATGCGGGAAGAGCTTTTGTGCTTGCATCTACGTAGTTAACAACATTTTATGCATCTGTGGGCTTAGGATAGTAACAGGCAGTGAAATTATACGAAGGTCTTCAACGGTAAAGGAATGCCGGCAAGCAATTTTTGACCGTCTATTTAAACAATGTATGTAATAAAAAGTTAATTTGAGAACTAAAGTGAGCCCTCTTTTTCCTAAGTCCCAAGCACATGCAACACCACAAAATCATTCTAAATTAATCAAAATATTGTGAAAATCTTACAATTGTTTTACCCATGCACAATCTTGCAATATATCAGGCAAGATCTTGTCAACATCTTGCAGAGATTTTTTCCATGCAAGTACTTGCAATATATTATGGAAGATTATGTCAACATCTTGCTAGATTGTACTCATGCAAGATCTTTGAAAATATTACGCTAGATCTTGTCAAGATCTTGCATGAGTAAAATCTTGCCGAACACATTGCAAGATGTTGAATGAGTAAAATTTTGCCTAACATCTTGCAAGATCTAGCATAAGTAAAATTTCGCCTAATATATTGCAAGATCTTGCAGT